AACCAACATAATGGGTTTGCGACCAGCATGGATCCAGACCAGCCTGCACATCCACGCAGTCTGATCAGGATCCATGCTGTTCGCTTACCAAATCTATTAAAGTAGAGAAACTGATAGCGAACAGCATGGATCCTGATCAGACTGCCCGGATGCGCAGGCTGGTCTGGATCCATGCTGGTCGCAAACGCACCATGTTGGTTTTGTCGTGACACGGCTCAAATATGTGACTGTCAATTATATTGTGTATTAATTAAATGATATATCTTTTAAAATTAAATACATTAACAAGATACAAATGTATATTTGGTAAAAGGTTATGAAAACCTTACATGTACATAGTATGTATCAAATTAAACAAGAGGGCCATGATGGCCCTGGATCGCTCACCTGACACAACCGCATCCAAGCAATGTCTTAAACAAGCATCATGACCAAGTTTGATGCGACTGAGTCAAACATGTGACCTCTAGTGTGTTATAAAGATTTTTCCATATTTGGGCAATGTGACCTAATTTTTGACTGGACACGACCAATATTCAAACTTGACCTAGAAATCATCAAAACAACCTTCCTGACCAATTTCCAGGAAATTTGGATCAAAACAGCAGCCACTAGAGTGTTAAAAAGATTTTTCTATTTTTAGCTCCTGTGACCTAGTTTTTGACCAGACATGACCAATCTTAGCACTTGACCCAGAAAACATCAAAACAACATTCTTGACAAATTTCCTGAATATTTGAATAAAAACTGCAGCCACTAGAGTGTAAACAAGCTTTTTCTATTTTTAACTCCTGTGACCTAGTTTTTGACCTGAGATGGCCCATCTTCGAACTTGACCTAGAAATCATCAAAACAACCTTCCTGACAAATTTCCAGAATATTTGAATCAATACTGCAGCCACTAGAGTGTTAACAAGCTTTTTCTATGTTTAGCTCCTGTGACCTAGTTTTTGACCGGAGATAACCCATCTTCGAACTTGACCTAGACATCATCAAAACAACCTTCCTGACAAATTTCAAGAATATTTGGATGAAAACTGCAGCCCCTAATGTGTTAACAAGCTTTTCTATTTTTAGCTCCTGTGACCTAGTTTTTGACCGGAGATGACCCATCTTCGAACTTGACTTAGATATCATCAAAACAACCTTCTTGACAAATTTCCAGAACATTTAGATGAAAACTGCAGCCATTAGAGTGTTAACAAGCTTTTTCTATTTTTAGCTCCTGTGACCTAGTTTTTGACCTGAGATGACCCATCTTCGAACTTGACCTAGAAATCATCAAAACAACCTTTCTGACAAATTTCCAGAATGTTTGGATGAAAACTGCAACCATTAGAGTGTTAACAAGCTTTTTCTATTTTTAGCTCCTGTGACCTAGTTTTTGACCAGACATGACCCATCTTCGAACTTGACCTAGAAATCATTAAAACAACCTTCCTGACAAATTTCCAGAATATTTTAATCAAAACTGCAGCCACTAGAGTGTTAACAAGCTTTTTCTATTTTTAGCTCCTGTGACCTAGTTTTTGACCGGTGATAACCCATCTTCGAACTTGACCTGAAAATCATCAAAACAACCTTCCTGACAAATTTCCAAAATATTTGGATGAAAACTGCAGCCACTAGAGTGTTAACAAGCTTTTTCTATTTTTAGCTCCTGTGACCTAGTTTTTGACCGGACATGACCCATCTTCCAACTTGACCTAGATATCATCAAAACAACCTTCCTGACAAATTTCCAGAATATTTGGATGAAAACTGCAGCCACTAGAGTGTTAACAAGCTTTTTCTATTTTTAGCTCCTGTGACCTAGTTTTTGACCGGACATTACCCATCTTCCAACTTGACCTAGATATCATCAAAACAACCTTCCTGACAAATTTCCAGAATATTTGGATGAAAACTGCAGCCACTAGAGTGTTAACTAGCTTTTTCTATTTTTAGCTCCTGTGACCTAGTTTTTGACCAGACATGATCCATCTTTAAACTTGACCTAGATATTATCTAAACAACCTTCCTGACAAATTTCCAGAATATTTGGATGAAAACTGCAGCCTATAGAGTGTTAACAAGCTTTTTCTATTTTTAGCTCCTGTGACCTAGTTTTTGACCAGACATGACCCATCTTCGAACTTGACCTAGATAAAATCAAAACAACCTTCCTGACAAATTTCCAAAATATTTGGATGAAAATTGCAGCCACTAGAGTGTTAACAAGCTTTTTCTATTTTTAGCTCCTGTGACCTAGTTTTTGACCAGACATGATCCATCTTCAAACTTGACCTAGATATCATCTAAACAACCTTCCTGACAAATTTCCAGAATATTTGGATGAAAACTGCAGCCACTAGAGTGTTAACAAGCTTTTTCTATTTTTAGCTCCTTTGAGCTAGTTTTTGACTTGAAATGATCCATATTCGAACTTGACCTAGAAACCATCAAAACAACCTTCCTGATCAATTTCAAGGGTATCTGCATCAAAACTAAAGCCACTTGAGTGTTAACAAGCTTTTTCTATTTTTAGCTCCTGTGACCTAGTTTTTGACCGGAGATGACCCATCTTCGAACTTGACCTAGATATCATCAAAACAACCTTCCTGACAAATTTCCAGAATATTTGGATGAAAACTGCAGCCACTAGAGTGTTAACAAGCTTTTTCTATTTTTAGCTCCTGTGACCTAGTTTTTGACCGGAGATGACCCATCTTCGAACTTGACCTAGATATCATCAAAACAACCTTCCTGACAAATTTCCAGAATATTTGGATGAAAACTGCAGCCTCTAGAGTGTTAACAAGCTTTTTCTATTTTTAGCTCCTGTGACCTAGTTTTTGACCCGAGATAACCCATCTTCGAACTCGATCTGTATTTCATTGAAACAAACATTCTGACAAAGTTTGATGATGATCCAATCAAAACTGTGACTGCTAGACTGTTAACAACCCAATTATTAGAGTGTTAACAAGCTTTTTCTATTTTGAGCTCGTGACCTAGTTTTTGACCGGAGATGACCCATCTTCGAACTTGACCTAGATATCATCAAAACAACCTTCCTGACAAATTTCCAGAATATTTGGATGAAAACTGCAGCCTCTAGAGTGTTAACAAGCTTTTTCTATTTTTAGCTCCTGTGACCTAGTTTTTGACCCGAGATAACCCATCTTCGAACTCGATCTGTATTTCATTGAGACAAACATTCTGACAAAGTTTGATGATGATCCAATCAAAACTGTGACTGCTAGACTGTTAACAACCCAATTATTAGAGTGTTAACAAGCTTTTTCTATTTTTAGCTCGTGACCTAGTTTTTGACCAGAGATGACCCATCTTCGAACTTGACCTAGATATCATCAAAACAACCTTCCTGACAAATTTCCAGAATATTTGGATGAAAACTGCAGCCTCTAGAGTGTTAACAAGCTTTTTCTATTTTTAGCTCCTGTGACCTAGTTTTTGACCCGAGATAACCCATCTTCGAACTCGATCTGTATTTCATTGAGACAAACATTCTGACAAAGTTTGATGATGATCCAATAAAAACTGTGACTGCTAGACTGTTAACAACCCAATTGTTGACGACGAACGACGCACAACGCACGACGCACGACGCACGACGCACAACGCACGACGACGGACGCCGGACATAGCCCCATCACTATACCTCACCATGACCACTTCGTGGTCAGGTGAGCTAAAAAAAAAGGTACTCAGTACAAAATCATTATCAACTCACAAAAAGTCTTCCACTCTACAAATTACAATATAAAATATTATAAAGTCACACAACGATATAATTATTATATACATTTTTGTAACAAATAAAATACAAACATAGGGCTTTATCAATTATATAAATTTCTGAACAACACACTGCATGTGTACATTTGTATATAAAACTAAAATACTGGACACAATTGGGGCACCGAAAAGAATTTTATCATGCCAGCTGCATAGCATCCTCAGACACATGTATAAGGAAGAAACGGCCTAGGTGGGATTCAAACCCACTGAAACATCTAAAGAAAAGTGATTCAAAGTCAGCTCACCAAACATTTCAGCTACACTGTCATGTAGTGTATCTTTATATAATTTTTAAATGAAAAAAAAAACAACAAAAAAACCCCAACAAAACAAACAAAAATATTAGTCTCAGGGCCTCGTTTCATGATCTTTAGGTCAAAAGTTTGGTATGAGGGTCTCAATGCCCTCTCCAGTTTATTTCCCCCCATTTTTAAAAATAAAAATCCTGACAACATTTTTTTTTTATCTCCTTTCACTGTAGTGAAAAATAAATTTTTACAGTGAAAAGAAAGAAAATGTAAATACACATAGTCATTTTATTTCAACAATATTTCTATAATATATATAATTATAATAACATTGTTAATCTAAACAGACATTAAACTGTTTATTACATGGATTGTGACATTGAATTTCCTTGAACCAATTAAATGGACAGTTCCAAAAATTAAAACCATGAATGGACTGTTCCAGGGGCGTTCCTATGATTCGACCCCTTTTTAAAACGGGCGGATAAAAAGGAAAATAGTGACTTTCTCCAGAGACAAAGAAGAGTGATATTTTCAAAAAGATTTTAAATTATATAGATATTCTAAATTGTGAATTATTTATTGATTTTTGAATATTGATGATATTTTTAATGACAGCCCTAACACCATGCAGATCTAAATGACATTCATTCATTAATGTATAAATTTTCAAAATTTCAGTGTCTTGACATACTAAAAGACTATTGATCTCAATATACATGTACTAGGCTCTATCAGTATTATTATGTACACCACCAAACCAGGGACCCTCATATTTCAGGAATACAAGTCCCTGGAACTCTTTAATAAAAAATAAAATTCATTGCAGAAATCCTGCAATCTAACCTCTTCGGATATTGCACCACAACTCTAATTCATTCTACTTTACATTTAAAAAAAACAAAAACAAAACAAACATGCAATAACACACACATTAGTCTGATTAGAACTGTCATTTTGACCATCCATGATCACTTGAGTTTTTAGCTGTATTACAGTTTAACTGACAATGATAATTCACCCTCAAGTCCATTTCTGGGGTAAATCCAGATGCTGGATTGAAAAAATGAGGGTGACCGTGACCCTGTCGAGGATCAAACCAATAGCCAGCTGGTCCTCTAGGTTGTGGAACCTGCATATTTTCTACACTGCCTTCACATCTGGACTGCTTCATGGCACTATCTATGGCTGCAGAATTTTCAATTTCACTTTTGACAGTAACCTCAGCTTGTGAGTCACTTTTATAAGCACCTGTACTGTGCAAACTATTTCCACTTTTATCGCTATATCCTTCGCTTTTTGACATGGTTAATGTATTCCCGTCAGCACTCCCACTGTATATGCTATTTCTATTGTTAACACTACTACTTTCGTGCACACTTTTTGAAACATTTGATGCATTTCCAATATGGGTATTTCCCTCACCATTATCAGCATCAGTTGCACTAAACACGCTATTTGCAATGTTCACCATATTTGCTGTGCTTACTGCACAGCCACTGGTTACATGAACAATACTTTGACCAATCCTTTCACTTTTGTTGTTTACATCATTTCCAGATTTAAGATCGCCACTTTTAACTCTTGACACTACTCCACTTTTAACAGATTCAGTGTTATCAACTGCTGTCGCATTGGCAGCACATGTACATTTCGGCTTGCCTTTAATGGCCTGCTCGCCATGCGATTTCCTATGTTTTTCCATAGAATCCTTTCTCAAGAACTTCCTGTTACAATCTGGGCAGTTAAATTGTATCCTGCTATCTTTATAATGTATTTTTTCATGCCTGGTTAGTTTATCCTTCCGTACAAATGATTTCAGGCATACGATGCATATATGAGGCCTTTCACCGGTATGCTCCAGTTTATGACGAGTCAGGTGATCTTTGCGATGGTAAGACTTGTCACACTGGTCACACGCATGTATTTTCAGTTTTTTGGCCGGGGACACATCATTCTGAACAGATAGCACCACTCCTGGCCCGCAAATTTGTTCAACATCATGTACAATATGATGATCATCATAATTTTTCTTGAAAGCAAAAGATTTATTGCACATTCGGCACAGAAATTCGCCCGAATTATGCTTCATATTCGCATGTGTGGAACCAGTGCTCTCCATGTTTAACTCACTACTGGTAGGCGTCGACTGTTGCATTAATCCTTAAAAAAAAAATGTTTCTCATGATTATAATATGAGATTATGATAATATAAGAAATTTATAACTTCATCGATTCATTTGATTCAAAGTTAAATCTTGATTAAAGTATTGCTGAAAGAGTAATGAACCTTACAATATATATTGAAGATACTTGTTGGTTATATTTAAAGTTGTCATTTCTCCTCCCGCTACCCATCACCTAGTCTTTGAAAAATTGCACTAAGTAAAGTTGACTCTTAAATGGGTGAGTTAACCAAAATTAGGCGACAACCTTAATAAAATGTTGACAAGTGAGGAGTTGAACTTGGGAGGAGTTGAACTAACATCTTTGAAAATGCCCATACTTCTTGCCTTTAATGTCATACACATTGTATATATACATCATTACATGTATGTGTTAATTTATACAGTCAAGCTGTATGGACCATTCTGTGGTCCAACTAATTTTACTGCGCAACAAGATACTGTGCTATTTTGTGTCTGGGGAATATCTTACCCCTTTTAAAGTGAGATTCTGACCAAGAATGAAAATATCTCCGAATCTAGCTTTGGTACATCAATATATTTTGACCAGACCATTCTGCTACTTCATAAAATGAAGAGTCTTGGCAATCTAACAGTTTTCTGACACCAATGTGCCATTATAGTTCTTAAACGACTGTTTTCCATTAATTACCAAAGAAAAAGTATAACGACTGATTAATATCTGTTAAAAAAAATTTTCACATAGCCCAGGACTCTATGGTATCACAGTACTTAATGTTTATCGTAAAATATTCAAATATAATTATCATGCATGAATGAGATTTCACTTCTATTTAATAAGTGAACTTTTCTCAAAACTGTTTGTCAAAAAATAACTTCAAAAGATCCAATTTAGATGTCATGTTTTAACTATTTCCAATGTCTGCCATTTTGGGTAATTTCAGAGGAGGTTACTATGATTTCACTGTAGTCCCAAGAAATGGAAGGATAGATTGGTCAAAATCTTTAAGTTAAAACTTAAGTTGTGAAAAACTTCCAACAGTTAACTTGTTATAATAATCAAACTATATGAACAGACGATATGTCAGTATATGTGATTGTAACATAGACTGTGTAAAAACAATTAACTTATTAAGGGAAATAGTAGTCAAATATTAAGAATGTTTATTTTATTAGTATAATGAAGATTTCATGAAATAGTTTTCTTCCCACGAATACATCCATTATTCACAAAATTTAATTTATTGGCAGATGAAAATGAATTTATTGTGCCAGTGTTATAAATATAAGCCTCAAGATGTGTTGCTTTTACTAGCAGTCATAGAAAATGTAAATACCATAGAACCCGTGATAGATCTATCATAGGAACCGAGTATAAATCAAATCAGTGACAGCTCTTTAAAGAATGGCAATCCAACACCTATAGCACCCTTTTCCCCCTTTTATATAATTCTTATAGTAAAGTTTAAAATTAAACTGTAAACTAATACGTGGTAAATATCTGAATTCTTATTACTATTTCAAGTTGTATATTAAACATATTTATCCGAAAACATATTTATCCGAATATTACTACACCCATAATATTTCAATCTATTATCTTTTGAAGAAACAAAAATTGAGCTATTACATGCTGGTAATAAATTCACATACTTTTGATTACTGAATATCAAAGAGAAACTTATGTGATAATCTTACCGTTGAAGACAATGACAATTATCGATAGATAAGATAATATTTTTTAATTGATTTTTTTCAGCACGAATAAAATTCAACATTATCGTTGTGATCTACGGGTCCTACTAAACACTGTCAAGGACTGCTGAGGAGGACTGCCAAGCACAGGGACTCGGCAAATTGTTATGATAGTGTAAAAAGTAATTATAGAAAAATACATATAATATATAGTTATTTATATTATATAATTATACAGTATATATTTTAAATGTCATTTAGAGACTTAATGATGATAGAAATTATATTGTATATTAAAAGCTAAATATAGTATTTTAATTTTAAAAACTAATTTTAGTCATAAATTATGTTTTTTATCAGAAAAGGGTTACCAAAAAGGCATAAAGGACTGATAAGGAGGAACTAACTGCACTAAAATAGCACTAAGGACTTCGGAAAAGCTAGTTTAGTGGAACAAAAGACAGACCTTTACCAACATGAATTCGAATTAGGATTAGGGGACTGTTATTCCAATAATCATAATTACAATTAATTGTATATTTTTCTATAAATGTAAACGTGAGTACAGTTAAATTTATTAAAGATTAAATGTATCTTTTTGTTGATGACCAGTTCGTTACGTTAACATGCATTGAAAACAAAATGACAAAGCTAGCATTAATTAATCCTAACACGACTTAATTTACATTTATTAAAGCTGTGACTCTTATACTAATCTTTCTGTGAAATAAACATGTACGAGTCCAAAATTTTGTTTATTTTGACTTGAAAATAACTTAAATGGTATCTTAATTCTGATACATTATATTGTAGGTGCACATTTTATAGTGTCTACACCAATCCCCCCCCCCCCCCCCAAAAAAAAAAAAAATAAAAATATGAAAATAAAGACTATGCTATTAAATTCTAGTCGATTTTAAAAAAAAATCTGCAATATAAATGAAGGTTTTTGGTGCTCAGTGCACAATTTAAAGGAATAGGAATGGGTTGATTGATGTCTGTCTCATATAAATATTCATCATTTAAAAAGAGGTACCATGACAGTTTTTCTGTTGACATCAACCTTATAAGTGAGAAATTCGTGTTTAAAGACACTATTTTTTACTTGAGAAATAAGTTCATGGGCGCCGCCATTTTGGCGTTCTGTCATTCTCGCGAGACAGACGAGACCGAGATTGTGACGTGTTACACCCACTTCCGGTATAGGTGTACACGCTGGTACAACTGAAATATATCTTGATGAAGAACTTATTAATTTTATGCGTACATTATATATTATTTATGAAAACATCATATGGAACTGAATTGCTTTAATTAATTAATTGAAGACGCCGCGACATTAATTATCATTTGTCCGATTTTCAAGCTTGCTGATGATCCCACCACATGATTTAAGCAATGACTGCTTAATTTTCAAAGATAAACCAACAATTTAATTTGGGTACTATGAGAAACTTCTTCAAATTGACGATATATCCTTTTATTTTGTACTTAATTTTCGCTAGACAAGCTGTCCGAATAGGGTACATCGCCGGTCATGTATCTTTTTTTCAGGTAAAATATCAACTAAGTCCAATTGAGGACGCGATTTCCCGCTATTGACGCTAAAAATGAGAATGGCGCAGGAAAATCGGCAGCCAGGCATATATCGTATGAAAACAAAACTGTCCGTTAGGTTATTAAGGCACCCAGTCAAAACTGGTACCAACAGCAACAAGTTGACCATTCCCCTGTAATTACGCATATTCTGGGGTTTATCCAGTTCCCTACGTTATCTACTTACCCAATTCCTTTCCCACACAGATACGCATTTCTACTACCGTAAATTTAATCCAATAAAACAAAAAATCATAAATCTACTTAATATTTAAAATGATTATTGGTAACTGAAAAAAAAAATGTGTTGCTATTTTATGACATGCTGTAATTTACAGTATAATTTGACAGGTGTGGAACTTAACCCTAAGGTCATTCAGTTCACTGATTAAGCGTAAAAAAAAAATAGATGTCTATGTCGTCATTAGAATATTTGACAAGGGTGATTAACTAATTAGGGCAACATTGTGCATGATCAAAAGGTCTGTCGGCACAGAGGCATACAAGGAGCAATAAAAATCGTCAGTACACAGTGTGACAGGAACATTTGGTGCAAATTAGGAACAATTAAAATGGACAATGCACAGTATTAGACATAAGTAGTAAGAACCAGCAATTGTGTGAATAAATTATGCAAATTAGATTTTTGAGCAGCCAATAAAAATGTTCTGCCTGCAGTTAATATTAGGCTACGAAAACGATGCGCAGCATCATACGTTGACAGACATGTTAACAATTTACTTTTCAAAAGAGTTGCTTATATTTTTGAAATGTGTGCATCAATTATAACATATGTTCACACCTTTAAATTTGAAAGTCAGAATCAAACTGCAAAAATTTAATTACATGTACTATTAAGAACACGTTTTAGTAGGATTTTTATAATAATGATAATTATCGCCGTTCAATAATTAATAGCCAATTATTCGTTGGTGCGTTTGTTTATTTAATTGCATTATTTGATTGTTTGATTGTGAAACTTTGTTAAATAATAACATGTGTATTTATTAAATCTGTGAAATATTGTTTAATTACATTAAGATGAGACTTTAATGGACATAGCATTGTTTGGAGTAACGGGCAACACTGGCCTGAAGTGGTGCGACCGGTAGACGTTGATCTTTTTTTTTGCTTATTTTTTTATTTTGATATTGTTACGTATTTTAAACCATAAATAATCTCCTCTACACCTCCTGTGAAAATATAATTGTCTGGTCAATACATTATTATATAAATATTTCCCTACGATTAAACTAGATTTACCATCTAAAGATGTGGGGAAATGACATCACGCGCACCTGTTTTTATACGGCCAATACACAAACATGGCCGCGCTTACTGATTTGTAGAAATCGGTGATTTAGCGATTTAAATTTTTTTATCATTCGTTTAATATTATTATTTGGCGGCAGAAAATTTGCAGATTTATTATTTATAGTATTCTTTTTCTGAAATCAAGTTTATATTCTAACCTTGTCTTTCCCTTTAACTTTTTATCAAAAAATTAAAGATACACTTGGCTTTAACTGCTGGTCTTTCTTTAAATATTACAAGACGTACATTTAGTTTCTACATTCATTGAAAATTTCAAACATGAAAGGGTGTTAAACATTTATTAATATTTCTATCAAACTTTCACACTTGTGTGTCAATGGTACCAATGTTTTCGGGCAATTTGGGTGTGTTAATTAAAAGTAAATCCATTGGTTGGTTTATTTACCATTGACATATCAATGATACCAATGTTTACGTATAAAATTTACCGTTGGTAGTTAAAATTTGCAGACAAACTAATGCTATGGTAGTGTTGACAAGTCTTACTTATAAATGACTCTTTTAAAATGACGATACTGATATGATTTTCATTGTTACATATAAAACTTAATTGGTCATACAAGGCTGAAATACTATTGCACATTAACAAAATGTACAAAAAGTGCGGATTAAAAAGTGCAAATAAAAACATAATATAAATACAGATAACAATAAAACCTAGCTGGGCCAAACTAAGGACCAAATTTATAAAACAAGATAAACAAGACCAAGATTGTCGTCAATTTCTTCAATGTTTTTATTTTTTAAATCATATTTCTTTTCGCCATCTGATAAGTCTTGAAATAATTAAGTAAATGCATTAAAGTATATGGCAATTTACATATAATTATAACTGTAACCTAACAGCATAGTTCTTACGTGGTCGATTTTTTTGTACTGATATCTTTATTTCTATAAGCCATATCAGGGTCTATTTTAAAGACCCTGACCATAATTGACTTACTGTATTAACTCAAATTAGGTTATCATACAAAAACATATCATGTAAACGTGAATTGCATTTAAGGATACTCGCATATCAAAGGGTATAAATGTCCAGACACTTCGGGACGCTTTGTTAGAGCGACATGAAATAAGAGTGACATGACACCGTAAAATGTCAGTTTTTGTGCTGTTAAGTGTTAAAAAATATTGTGTGGATGAATAGTTTTTTCCTTGTTTATGCTACTTACACATACAATTATAAAACTTAATTACGAATTTATTTAATTATTATCTTTGTTTGGTTTAAATGACATCTTCTGGACGCTTCCTCATTTTATGAATTTGATAGTGTGCGCACGTACATACTTAAGTCTTCTGGATATTAAATGATATTTATTAGAGAAAAAACTGTCTTCCTGAATAACGTCATTTAGAAAAAACTAATATTTAAAGATCCTGTATGTTTTGTGATTGATATTGTTACTGTGTGTATACCACACTTGCAAAAAATTATATACAAACTGTATGTATATACATGTAATTATGCAAATAAAACAATTTTCAAACATCGAAGAATATGTAAAATGTGTACTGCAAATATTTGTACACATTATATTTAATCAATAAATTACATGCATTCATTTCTTATTGGAAAATTTGACATAGAATTTATAGAAAATAAATTTCTAATTACCTCCCTTTATTTACATGAAATGTTAAATTGGGTGTATCTTTATAAATAATGCTTATTGGAACTTACAATATTGACAAATCTTAATTTGAGCATCATATTTATGACATAAAACCATGAAAAAATTGTGTTAAAGGATCTTTAAATCAATAATGATTTTCTTTAACCTTGAAGTAAAAAAAATAAGTCCAGACGCTCCGGAACGCTTGTAAGCCTGACATGAAATGGCACGGTAAAACGTCATTTTCGTGATGTAAAATATATATTCTGTGGATAAAAAAGTTCCGCTTATTTAAGTTACTTTCATATACAATTAAAAAACCTAATCACGATTTATGTAAATACTATCTTTGCTTAGATACAAAACATTCCAGACGCTTCAGGCCGTTTATTTGTCACTTAGTGATGTTTGTTTTTGAGTTTAAAATTGATAATTTATGTGTGAAAACCTTTTCTTTTCTTTAATATTACTTTACAGAACCATTGCGAAGGAATTAAAAAAAATTCTTGGTTTAGATTAACACTAGTTAACTGGACTCAATGGTAGGTTAGTTTTATTTATATAATTAGAAAAATGTCAATTAAGTTGGGTTTTTTACCATAAATCCCATAATATAGCTCATTTACAATAAATATAACTATTTAAAATAATGCTTCGGGACGCTAAATTTCTTTAGAACGATATTTTTAGTGGTATTTAACCTTACTCTTCAGAAGAAGTTACAAAAATCAATACCCGGAAGTGACTATCAAACGTGTTCGCCGGCCGACGGACTAGACAATTTTTCTTATATTTTATATTAATTTTGGTATATCTGTTAATTGGTGTAGGAAATCACTATGCCAACAGTTTCAGTAAATAGGGAAGAACTTTTTAAGGTTCTTGGCAGGAGCTATAGTTAGTCCGTTTTCATTTTATTTCTAAAAAGTGTATCTGACAGCTGGTGTCAGTTTTGTAAATGTTGCATCAGCATTTAGTCATCTGCTATTTTAGTATCTTATCAGTGTTGCATCTAGAATTTCAAAATTATGGGGGATTGTCCCCCACTCAATTGAAAAATGTGGGGGATTTGAAAAAAATGTGGGGACATACATTTACCTTACAATATGACATACCGAAAAGAACTCATTTATTTTACGTTCAGGCATTTTTGACAGATATCGTCCGCTCAAAAACGGAAGTAGAAAAAATAAAATATTGACGAATACTACAAAACACACGCGAGATGACGCAGTCGACTGCTACACGCGATTTAGTACGTATTTTAGTCATAACCACGAGTGAAAACAAACCTGGCTGAAGCGTTTAAGATACGATGAAGATAATCTGAATTAAGTTGAAAAGATCGTCAGATGCGCGACTTGGCGCGCACTGACTTCATTAAAATGCGCGATCTGCATAAAAAGTGCGCAAATCGCACAATCGCGCGGCCTAGATGCGACACTGTCTTATTCTTAAAAAATATATTTGTATTTGATTCTGATTTCATGCTTATATTTCCTGTATTTTTTTCTAAGATATGGGTTTAACATTTTCATAAAAGCCTCCCCTGATAAAATTTATGAAATTTATAATTATGCTGGTGAAAGTGGTTTTGTTGAATGGGAACAAGACACTTCATCACTTAGACCAGGGGTCTAGCAACTGGGCAACTTGGGCGATTAACAGGCTGGTGAAAATGCCCAATCGGGCTTATGACATAAAAAATCGTATTTCTAGATAAAATAATAAAGATATTTCTTTTAAACTTTGTTTGTATATTGAGCATACTATATGACAAAGTTTTAAAGAAATCTCTTTATTAATTTTCTAGAAATATGATTTTTAATGTCATAAGCCCAATTGGGCATTTTCACCAGCCTGATTAAGATGCCTAAACTAAATAAACTTTGTCGAATTTGCACATCAAAGGTAAATTGACTTCGCAGCGCTTATTTACTTACTGCATAGACAGTTCTTAAAGTATCATACAGCTTTTGACAATAAATTTAATCCTTGCCTCCAGGCGTAAGTAAAACTGAGTGTTAATAAATAAATAATTGAGTGTAATTTACACATTTGTGTGACATGATATGCAGCTCAATCGGACATTTTGCCAACTAATTCACCATTCAGACATATTGCCAACAAATTCACTAATATAAACATCCCAATTAATTGTGCACAATTAATATGTCAGATACATGTCTCATTTTAAATCAGGGAGATAAAAAAAAGTTACACTCTGAATTTGCCCAAACATATTTGGCAGTAACTACATGCAATGTGACACCAACTGTGTAAATTAACTTGCATATAAATTACAAGTAAATGGCTTGATACAGTTATGTTTGCATCAACTTAAAAGTCAGCAGGGTCTTTGATGTTCTTTGAATAGCCACATCCCCCTTCTGTACCTTTTTGATAGGGGCGCGGCCGAAAAAGTAATCACTGCTTTAAACAACATTTCCAAAACAAAAAACAGTGTTTGGGGCCTAAATAGGGTAACTTTTCACTGTTTGAGGCCTCAAATAAGGGGGGAGGGGTCGAAAGGCTGTCAAAACACATCTATATGGGGTAAAGGGTTAAATTATGTGTTAAATTGTTTAAACTGTTTATGTTTCATTAATACAAGATGAGAACTTTTTTTACTAGCCGCTAGTGTAAAGCTGTTTCTGAAATTCAATAGACATGCAGGTTTCATTTGTCATACCATGATATGTTCAAAGTTTAATAAATTGTCAGTGTATATTATAATAAGATATAAAAAGAATAAGATATTATATGCAATCATGGAAATGCCAGTTGACTACCTCATATTGCCAGTTATTGCAAAAATTAGCACTAAATTCGAACCCCTAGGATCATAATGACACCCCTGTGAAAGAGCTTGTTACTGTCATTGCCATTATTTATCACATGTTTTTCATGTTTATTTCTTTCCAATTTGAGACTGACTGTTTCTTTCAGCATTTGAGGAGTTTGATGAACTATGTTTTGAGTTTGGTTTGGAGGCAGAGATGGCTGTAAGTATAATGAGTATTACTGTTCTGTCTGACCGATTCTGAGGCATTACTTTTGAAATATTTAATTGCTGAATGTGTCACAGTATGGTACTGTAGTTTTTTTATTTATTTAAAAAAACAACCTGTGGCTTTCTGAAGGGGAAAATATAGCACAACAAATCAAATACATGTATTGTTGATGTAACAGAAAACCCTGAAATCAAATTCCAAAAACTTAGTATGTAATATACCTACACATTTTATAAAATTTTCAATTTAAACATGCATGATACATAGCAGGGGCTCTCTGTAGGGACAACTTTCAGTCAATTAGATTTATCATGTAGCTGATATAAGTCAGCTGCTGTCTTTATGTATATTAATTTTTTGGGTAAAAAACTAGATGATTTTTAAGAATAATATTTCTTTGGGGAAGCCACCCTTAAACAGCCCCTGCTAGAGGGGGAAAAACAGTCCTGGAAGCATAACAAGTACATTGAAGAATTTCACCTGGTTATGGGTTGACATTTCGTCACCTTAGAGAGTTAGTGCAATAACTGAATATCTTCTATTAAATTTAGTAGCACTTAGTCTTATAATGTTATTGCACAGTTTTGTTATGTGATACTGTTTATATGTCATTGTGTTGAAAAATTTTTTTTCCTGTTATTGTAGGAGGATGAGGAAGGCCAAGGGGACAGTACTGAGGTTACTTATAAAATTGAGGTTCCAGCCAACAGGTATGATCATTATGATAGTTAAAAAGCTGTGGAGATGTTTTTTCTCTTACCATATTTTTTCACATAAATGGGGGCTGAAGATACTAAGTTTTTATTTGGCAAATATTTATAGAAGGAAATTGTTTGTTTTTCTCTTCACTTTTCCTTCTATTTCATCTGGGACATAATATAATTGAACTAGTAACTGGAGATTTATTCTGCGGTATCTTTTCATGCAATAGGTTGCAGCCATTTTGCATTTACGGAAAAGTATTCATATTCGGGCATGAACATCTTTTTCTCTGCCAGAAAAGCTGGAAAGTTGTAGTGTCTGTGCAACTTAAAACTTGACAATGACAAAAAAGAAATAAATATCTACTCATTAATTATTGTCATTTCTTGTTTTCATAAATTGCACAATCACGTCTATATGACTGAAATACTGTTGGGAAAAGGCATAAAATGAAACAAACAAACAAAACTAGTGATAGTATCTTATTCAAATTTGTTACTATTTATACTATTTTATGTATGACAAAACTCGAAATTTCATGTAAACCGTTTATAACTGTTATAGATGAACACTTTATTTGTAGATATATTTGTATATAAAAGCAATCTGTTGTTTATTTTTAGATACGACTTGCTTTGTATTGAAGGGATCGGAAGAGCTCTTCTTGTTTTCTTGGAAAGGTACGTGGTTTTAAAATGATAAATTAACCATTGGCCTGTGGTGTTGTTCTACCAATTAAGACAAGTATTCAATTTGTGTGAAGTACAAAAGTGATCTTTTATTTTTTATTTTAAACAAAAACATGTCTAGAATAGATGCATGTACTCCTGTGTAGTGTTTAACTGCATAGTAATGTACAGCATATGTATTACATAGGTATACACAACATATGTATGACAAAGTGATATACAGCATATGTATTACATAGGTATACACAACATATGTATGACAAAGTGATATACAGCATATGTATTACATAGGTATACACAACATATGTATGACAAAGTGATATACAGCATATGTATTACATTGTTATACAGCATATGTATTACATTGTGATATATTCACCTCCGTGGTCGAGGGGTTAGAGTTGATGACTTCTAATCCAGTTACCGCTCTGGCGTGGGTTCGATCCCCAGGTGATGCTTTGGTAGTTTAGCGCAGAGGAAAGTAGTCTAGTACTGGTGTATTTCTCCAGGAACGATGGTTAGGAAACTACCCGCCTATATGACTGGAATACTGTTGGGAAAGGGCGTAAAATGAAACAAACAAACATTGTGATATACAGCATATTTATTACATTGTAATATACAGCATATGTATTACATTGGGATATACAACATGTAGGAGCAGATTATATACATGTGTGTTTACATGCAGTTGGCCACTCATTTATTCCAAAAATTTTTGATCATGAGTCATTCAATGATAATTATTTTTTTAGGTTGAAGGCACCAAGGTATAAGTCTGTGGCACCCACATCTGGTGCCAGACAGCAGCTTAAGATTCTGCCAGCCGTAAGTTTATAATATGATGATTCTTGCCAGTAAATAAACTAATGAAAGTTTCCAACTTCTACAATATTTATCTACTTTGCTAAAATTTTTGAGAGGGGGGGGAATATTTTATATATAATTGATAAAAACTGAAAACCGCAATTAAAAAAAAATGATTTTGGTGAATTTTCTAATTCTTTTGTACATATGATCGAAAATATTAGTTGGGTAACTCAATGTTAGGTTGTATGTTTCTGTAACTTGATGTTAGGTTGTATGTTTCTGTAACTTGATGTTAGGTTGTATGATTCATAAACAAAATTTCAGTGTGATACTGAGTAAGGATAACAAATGTAAAGTGTTAAAGACACAAGATTTTATAAAGAAATTTGCAGTGATACAAGATCTTCTGTTGAAAACTTTTAATCAAGTTTTCATTGTGTTATTCGCTTACCAGTAAATCTATGAAAAAGTGTTTATCTGTGCTGAATTTATGTTATTCCAGTTTGTATTTAAAGTTTTACTTGTACAGTTGTTACATGTAAGTTAGATAGTGCATAACAGAACCAGTTGTTTGATTTTCAGACTGGTCAAGTACGTCCATTTGCCGTGGCCGCTGTACTGAGAAATATTAAATTTACCGAGGTATGTGATTTATAAGTCATAGTTTTACATTTTGTTGGACACCAGTATCACTGAGTAGCTTTAATGTGATGCTGTTATAAAATTAATCAACTCTGTATTGGAAGCTTGGTTGACTCTCAATATATCTAATTATGTCCTCTTATTAATTTGTTATTGAAATACAGTTCTGAGCGCAGGGGTGTTTAAGAACGTTGTCCTCAAACCACATTCTTTCATGTGAAGGAGCTATCCAGTTACTTTACAGAATATCTGTGGTTTTACTTGGGTGCCCGTTCATGTCTGAAATAATGCATGTAGGGCACCCAACATCTTCCATTACCAGTTCAGCTGGAAAGAGGCCACATGACCTCTACAGAGTTGGTGTGACATGATACAAAACCAATATAAAGAAAAAAGTTTGAAAATTACATTTGAAAAAAAATACGTCAAGTTAAGTAACTGCTTATTATTATAATTATCTCCCTTTATTAATGTTAGACTGTTCATGTTTATGTGGAGATTAGCAATAGGTTAGGTCTTACATAAGTGGCAAAGGTTTGTTCATTATTGCACAGCAGTTTTCAGTTTTAAAAGAATAAAATTATGTTTTAAAGTGACTTATGCTTAATTTTACATTGTCGATTTGAGGTAATTTTGGTGTATATTTTAAAAGATTGACACTTCTTATAGCGATTGAACAATACATATAATTGATGATTACAAATATTTACGATGAAATATAAAAACTGCCTTAAATATAAAAAGACTTGGTGTTGAACATAACCGACAATTTCTGACTGGTAATTTTGTGGGTCACAAGGATTACTCTGGTAAAGTTTATTTTAAGATTGAAAACCAATTATAACGAAATGTAAAGCTATTTTAATTTGACTTGAACACTCACACTATTTACTCTTGGATGAGTAAGATTTTTGATCATTGATTTATTTTCAGGATAGGTACAAAAGCTTCATAGATCTTCAAGATAAACTGCATCAAAATATTTGCAGGTAAATAAACAATTTGTCTTAATAAGAAAATATATGTTATTGTTAGAAAAAAGAACTTTATAATTGGTTGCTTACAGAAGACAATAGCAAATAAAACATCCATGGACAATTTATATATTCAATTCAATTTATTTATTCATGGAAAATCTAATTCATGGACCATTTATATATTCAATTATATTTATCTATTCATGGACAATTTATATATTCAATTCAATTCAATTTATTTATTCAGCATTTGAACAATTACATATTCGTCGCCTTTAACATGATGGCGGTGGTTACAATATTTGAGAAGAACATGGCAATATATAAACATACATAATCAGTTATCATTTAACGATGTAGAATTAAGTATGACTACGAATATCTGTACACACCGGCTCCTGATAGGTTGTTTAAAGGAAACTAAACCTAAGAAAATTATATGCATATTTGGATATTTCTTAAACTTGGTTACTTGATTAAGAAAATTGTTATAAACATGGATACTGTTTCTTGTAAACCAGGCTAAATGAAAACTTGTAGTGACTTATGTACGGTACCTGATATTAAAAGATGCGTAGCTTTTCCATGGATGTCTACCCATTGGTGGGGTTTTGGTGCAAAAAATAGTGGCTTGATGCATCCATCAGTGTCATTATAGATATTATTGCTTGTTTTAGGGTGAGAAAGTTGGTTGCCATAGGAACGCACGACCTTGACACCATACAAGGACCATTCATATATGATGCTAAACCACCAGCAGATATCAAGTTCAAGGCATTGAATCAAACACAAGAAATGACGGCTGTAGAACTGATGAAACTTTACTCCGTAAGTCTGAACTATGGCCAAGCAATTTACTCTTTTTTTAGCTCACCTGTCACAAAGTGACAGGGTGAGCTTTTGTGATCGCTTTTCGTCCGGCGTCCGTCCGGCGTCCGTCCGTCGTCCGTAAACTTTTACTTTAAATGACATCTCCTCATAAACCACTAGGCCAATTTCATCCAAACTTCACAGGAATGTTCCTTTGGTGGTCACCTTTAAAAATTGTTCAAAGAATTTAATTCCATGAAGAACTCTGGTTGCCATGGCAACCGAAAGAAAAAACTTTAAATATCTTCTATTAAAAAACCCTAAGAGCTAGGGCTTAGATATTTGGCATGAAACATCTTCTAGTGAGTGTCTACCAAGTTTGTTCAAATAAAAGCCCTGGGGTCAAAATTGGCCCCGCCCCAGGGGGTCATTGATTTTCCCTATATGCATATAGTAAAAACTTAAAAAAATCTTCTTTTAAAGAACCCAAAGAGCTAGAGTTAAGATATTTAGCTTGAAACATGTTCTAATGAGTGTCTACCAAGTTTGTTCAAATAAAAGCCCTGGGGTCAAAATTGGCCCCGCCCCAGGGGGTCATTGATTTTCCCTATATGCATATAGTAAAAACCTAAAAAATCTTCTTTTAAAGAACTCAAAGAGCTAGAGCTAAGATATTTAGCACAAAGCATGGTGTTATGGGCGTCTACCAAGTCTGTTCAAATAAAAGCCCTGGGGTCAAAATTGGCCCCGCCCCGGGGGTCATTGATTTTCCTTATATGTGTATAGCAAAAACTTAAAAAATCTTCTATGAAAAAACCCAAATAGCTAGTGTTTAGATATTAAGCATGAAACATCTTCTAGTGAGTGTCTACAAAGTTTGTTCAAATAAAAGACCTGGGGTCAAAATTGGCCCCGCCCCGGGGGTCATTGATTTTTCTTATAAGTGTATAGCAAAAACTTAAAATCTTCTTTGAAAAAACCCAAATAGTTAGAGTTTAGATATTAAGCATGAAACATCTTCTAGTAAGTGTCTACAAAGTTTGTTCAAATAAAAGCCCTGGGGTCAAAACTGGCCCCGCCCCAGGGGTTTCATTGTTTTTAACTATATGTGTATAGTAAAAACTTAAAAAAACCTTCTTTTAAAAAGCCCAATGAGCTAGAGCTTAGATGTTTAGCATGAAACATCTTCTTATGGGTGTCTACCAAGTTTGTTCAAATAAAAGCCCTGGGGTCAAAATTGGCTCCACCCCAGGGGGTCATTGATTTTCGCTATATGCATATAGTAAAAACTTAAAAAATCTTCTTTTAAAGAACTCAAATAGCTAGAGCTAAGATATTTAGCATCAAACATGCTCTAATAGGTGTCTACCAAATTTGTTCAAATAAAAGCCCTGGGGTCAAAATTGGCCCCGCCCCGGGGGTCATTGATTTTTCTTATATGTGTATAGCAAAAACTTAAAATCTTCTTTGAAAAAACCCAAATAGCTAGAGTTTAGATATTAAGCATGAAACATCTTCTAGTAAGTATCTACAAAGTTTGTTCAAATAAAAGCCCTGGGGTCAAAACTGGCCCCGCCCCAGGGGTGTCATTGTTTTTAACTATATGTGTATAGTAAAAACTTAAAAAAAATCTTCTTTTAAAAAGCCCAATGAGCTAGAGCTTAGATGTTTAGCATGAAACATCTTCTTATGGGTGTGTGTGTGTGTGTGGGGGGGGGGCTATATACAGGTGAGCGACCTCAGGGCCATCATGGCCCTCTTGTTATTTTCAGTCATTTGTAAGGGCGTCGTGTTTATCCATTTGGCCGGTTTAAGCCATAAACCGATCATAAAATTCATTAACCAGAAAATGAAATTAGTATTAACAGAGTCTGCAATTTTTATGTAATTTTGTTGTGATTAATGCTTCCGAGGGGTCACACTTTATCCAGATTTATAGAAAGTTTTTTAATTTTTATTATTTTAAACATTAGTTTTGTTTTTTATGACAAGACAAGAAAAGTTAAAAATATTTAAAAAATCTAAGAATTTTTCTAGTATGTTTGGTTAAAATGTTTAACATGGTAATTAGGTTATTAGACTTAAAAAGTGTTAGCATCATTGCTAACTGTGACACAATAATATAATTATTGGTTGTAGTGTAGATGATTAAAGATTGTATTGTATTTTCGTATTATTTTAGGGAGACAGTCATCTGAAAGCGTATTTACCTATCATCCAAGATAAACCAGTCTACCCAGTAATCTATGATAAAAATGGAGTTGTTTTATCCATGCCTCCTATCATCAATGGTAAGTATTTTTGTTATATTGTTATACAGTCATTCTATCCTCTGTAGTCGGAGGCTTGCGAAGCCTTAAAAAGGCCTTTAAAATTAAGTAGAGGCCTTAAAATGACCTTAAATTAAAAATTTTATCTGACCATTAAAAAAGACCTTAAAATGTATGTGTTTTCCGAGTGGGGGGTGGGGGGCATGAATGTAATTTTTTTTTAATATTAAACATAAGTAAACTTCTAGGCATGAATATTGTGATTCAGAAATCATGTGGGATAATTAGTCCATCATTTAACGGAGACATTGGTAATTACTGGTTTAAGTTAACCTGGAAAGCCGGTTAGGTTGAACCAGTCTGCGGAGATGAAACCAAAACGTGTTGAAATCATCGTAAAAACCAAACAAACATTTCCATTTCAGGTGAGCATACAAAGATCACCCTAGAGACCAAGAATGTGTTTATAGAATGCACGGCAACAGATCTGACGAAGGCTAAGATAGTGCTGGACACCATCGTTACCATGTTCGGACAATATTGTGAGGAACCTTTTGTGTGAGTATTATAGTATTTTTTTCTTGAAGCCAAATTTTTTTTGCAAAATCAACATTTCGGACAAATTTGTCTGGTTTAGTATTTGTGAATTCTCCAATTCTGGAATTTCTACTTTCACTTGTGTAAAATTATCATGGTAGTTTCTTTTAGTTGATAGTTATTGTTTGAAATTTTTCAATTTTCAGGAGTGTAATGAACCCATTTAATGAAAACAATAATACACAAGTATAATAACATTGACATGAGGTCATTTGTGATATACACAATTCTAACACCCTTCACACTATTCCCCTATTAAACAGATAGGGCAATCAAGTGCATAATTTTTAAATGAACAAATTGCGATCAAGTGTATTATTTGTCTATGAACAAATTGCAGGTCCAAAAATACAACCATGCCGTGTGGGTCTCTAGGGACTTTTTCCCTTGGGCTAGAGCTTTGTGCCTTATAATGCTGTTAAGGAGAACTTCCAACCTATTGCACTGGCTCAGTCATATTTGTGTAGATTCAATACTATATTTATTGAACAAGTTAAATAAAATCATATCATGCGTGCCTCTGACTTCATTCTAACATGCACCAGAGGCACCAGAGGTTCATGTTATACGGTTTTACTCAACTCCTTCAATACATTTAGTATTAAATCAACGCTGATTTGATATTCTCTATAAAGTCCATGATGAGATTCAAACCCATAGCCTTCATGTGCAAGCAGTTTAAAATCAATGAACATGCCCACATGGCCACAGAGATCCGGTTGTTATGATGTATGGTATGCATTTATTTTTTAGGATAGAGCAAGCCGAAGTCATACAGCCAGACGGTACTACAGTTGTTTATCCTGTAAGTTGAGATGATTTAAAGGCACTCCACTGAGGTTTTTGATATGCTGGGTCTAGAAATAAATTTTTGAGAATAATGTTCCATCTGATTTTGGGTTAGACCAATAACTTGTTTGCAAAATTTCAGATCATTAGCTCTTTGCTTTTTTCCTGAATAATTATTTTAATTGTGAAAAATAACCAAAAATTGAAAATCGTAACAATGCTTTTTCACTCCAATCTAGCTAGGAATAGCAAAGAAATATGATTTTCAGTTTATGTACGGGTATATTGTGTAATAATTTTTGGCATACTTTACTTTTTTAAGTGCCATTAGAAATTCAAATTTTATGTTTTTAGTCCTTTGGACCTCAGTGGAGTTCCTTTAAAAATAACCATATTATTATCACTTTGTCATTTATAAGATAATCCTGATTATTGCCAGTGTCTGTTTAAAAATATACCTTTTGCCAGATTGACGTTTTGAAAATAAAACAGTTCCAGTTAAATAACAACCCTATTATTGTCAGTTTGAAAACAACCCTTTTAAAAAACATTATTGTCAAATAGTTGGTTTGAAAGTAACCCATTTAAGGCTTTTTAGTGCCATTTTAAAGATATATCTGCTCATTCCAATTTGTAATTTTTTTTGGATTAAACCCCCCCCCCCCCATTATTGCCAGTGTGTCATTTTAAAAGAGCACCTTTAGTTGCCATTTGGTCTTTTCCTATCATGCTTCATCTCACTTAATAAAAGTGTCTTGTGTAACCCATTAACCCATAGACCCATATGATTTTGTGAAATAGATTTGTGTAGCTTTCAATTTGGAGAAGTCCATTCAAAGTTCGACAGATTTCGGTAAGAAATCACGGAAGTTAAGCTATCAACGGTATATCACCATCTGTGCAGTCTGACCAGGCTCTATACTGGTGGCAAAGGTTAATCACGATTAGTTTTAGAAGATCTATTTTAAGATACCTTACATGGACATCTGTCCTTGAATGATGTTTTAAAGGTGATGTGGCAAACATGAATTTTATAATGTTTGAAAAATGGTTTTAGAGAATGTGAAATGCTTGTTAACTGAAGGAAGTAGCGATAAATGTGAAATTATTTGTCATAAAAGTAGCAAAAGTAGTGATTTGACTTCCGCACAAAATACTAATTCACTATAACTCTACTTATTGCCAAAAAGGCAACAGATGAAAAAGATGGCAAATGAGAAACATTTTAAATGTTATAAAAGTACACCAAAATTAAAATGCTTTTGGGAAATAAAAATGAAACCATTTTGAGATATTTTGGGCCTTTAAAGACCAATCCAGCTGTCTTTCTGACCTAGTTGAACTGTTGGTGTTGCATTTTATTTCGAATTTTTCCGTTAATCATTGACATCGAATTTTCCCTTAGAAATTTTCACTCCAACATAATTATTATAAACAATTTCTTGGAATGGTTATCTTTTGTAAATTGAACTCTATTTAACTCAAATTCTTTTATTATAAACGCTTTCTTGAAATGGGAATATCTTTATTTTACCAACAATTCTTACATCTCGTATTTATTAAGATTTGCTAATCAGAAAAACTGATGGTAGGTATTTTGTATAGGAATATTTTTTTTGTACTTGCAGGAACTTGCCTATAGACATGAAGTGGTAAATGTTGAGGAAATCAACAAAAAAGTGGGCATAAAGTAAGTTTGGTGATGCAGTAGGTCTTACATGCAATGGGTAACTGTATAGTGTTGTTATGACCTGGCATAATATTAATTGAACCGTCCATCCGAAAGAATATAGGGGGCCATATGCGTCACGGTTGTAATTGCACAATAAAATCAAAATACGCTTGTAGATCAAAATTCATCAATGAAGAATAGTACTATTAAAGTTTGATATTTCGAAATGAGATGTTTTGATTTCATAAAATTATATTTCTGGGTTTTTTGATAGAAAACTTAAAAGTTGTGTTGCATCGACAGAGTATATTACAAATGAAAGTGACAGAAAGTGACATATGAACAAAAGGGAGGTAACTCCTGTATTTAAAATGAAATTATTGATAATGTGACAGGTGCGCTACCACCAATAGAATAGACAACTTGGTGCTCTTATTTTCAAAGTTTTAACTTGTACCACCGCTAAGCCAGTTAAAACGCACTGTAAATGAATGGGTATAAAATTTATCTCGAATACATTTTCCATTGAAAAAGGTTCCCGAAATTTCTATAACTTATTGATACTTGAAAACTGTAACACTGTAATCAAAGAAACTTTGGTTAACAATGTAGGTTTTGTTAACTTCAAATAATATTGCTTTTACAGTATAGAAGGAGATAAGATGGCTAGACTGTTGACTAAGATGTACCTGGAATCCGAGGTGATCGACGGGGGTAAAAATATACGAGTAGAAGTACCACCTACTAGAGCTGATATCCTTTTGTTTATAAATTTATTAAATCTTCCCTAACCCGAGTTGTAAGATGATACAAGATACGCTGTATTGCAAGTCAACTTGATTAGGATTAGAATAACAGTAAAAGTGACATTATGCTCTTTTTTTTGGCTGTCAAGTTGAGCTAAATTAGTAATATATTTTGTCTGTTATATCGTCTGTTATAGTGGTGACTGACCAATTATTGATAATAAAAAGTATTTATGATACAGGTTAAATCTACCTGAATTATAAAAAAAAATGCCCCATGCTTTTTAAGAATTGATCGTAAGCGATACTTTCGATGTTTACAGAAATTTCTAATAGTCACATGGATTATTGATTATTTTTAGATAAATCGTTTCATATAATGGTCAAATCAAAAGAATGAAGGTGAAAAATGAAATTTGCCTTCATTAAGATACATAAACAATAAGGAAACCCCTTGATACTGCTAATCTACCAGTCCGCTCCCTATATCTAAATTAGTAATGCAAACGATTTATTTCAATAGTTTTCGAGAAGCTGTTTTGAAGAAGGTTTTGCAGTGATATGACGCATTTTTTTCAAGAGAAATTTACTGAAATACCTCATTTGAAACTACACAGAATTGTGTATTTTTCCAACAAAAAATAAAAGCTGAAGGCCGCTTTGAAATAACTGCTCCAGCATAAGCTGAAAATATAAATTATTAATTTTTCATACTTTACTGTAATCACCTTCCATCAGTACTTTCAAGTACTTTGATTGAACCAGTCCTTGTGGGGCATCCGTGGCCGAGTGGTTAAGGTTGTTGACTTCAAACCACTTGCCCCTCACCTCTGTGGGTTCGAATCCAGACAGGGACTTTGGATTTTTTCATGTGAGGAAGCTATCCAGCTAGCTTACGAAACGTTGGTTGTTCTACTCAGGTGCCCGTTCGTGGCTGAAATAATGCACGGAGGGGCACCTGAGGTCTACCTCCACCAGTAAAGCTGGAACGTCGAGATATGACCTATACTGTGTCGATGTGACGTAAAACCCAAAACAAACAAACCAGTCCTTGTTTTCCTTAACATATTATACATGTATTGCATGGGTGTGATATATTTGAGGATGTGGCTATAGCTTACGGTTTTAACAACTTGACCTGGACCATACCCAACACCAGCACAATAGCTAATCAGGTAACATGCTTGTCTTTTTTTATGCTTTTGCTTGCGGCCCTGGCTGAGTGGTTAAGGTCGTTGACTTCTAACCACATGTCCCTCACCGCTGTCGGTTGGTATCCTGACAGATATTTTGGATTCTTTCATGTGAGGAATCTATCTAGTTAGAATATGGAACGTGGTTGGTTCTACTTACATGTCCATTTGTGCCTGAAATAATGCACGGAAGGGCACTTAAGGTCTTCCTCCACCAGTCAAAGCTGGATCATCGCCATTAGACCTATACTGTGTTGGTGTGATGCAAATTAAAGATCAATGGCAATTTAGTGGTTTTCCCATCTGTTTGTCACTGTCCATTAACAATTTTAGTCACAACATCTTCACCATATATGATACAGACTTTATGATTTAACACAACAAATTTACACATTAGAGCCTCTTTTTGATATTATTGTGAATGACCCTGGTTACGAAATGACATTCACCTTCATGGTAAATACTGTATTAGCAGGATTGTACACTTATACAGTACTCTTTTTTACTTTGTCCAGAGCATATTTTCTCCACATACGGAAGGATTCACATGAAACATAATACAAATATTGCCACTATGAGAAGCCATGTTGCATGCCTGAACCAGGTCTCTAGGTCAAAGGTCAAGGTCACACTTAGAGGTCATTAAAAAATGCTTGTCCGGAGCAAAACTTTCACATGCATTTCAGGAATTTTAATATAACTTGGCACAAATGTTCACTATTGTGAGGCGGAAGGTCGTGTGCAAAATGTAGATCTCTGTGGCCAAGGTCAAGGTCACACATAGGGGTCAAAGTTCAGATAAAATATCAGTAGAGTTGATAATATATGATAATATTTCCTAAATGCATATCTATAATGCTCAAATCTTTGTCAAAAGCTTCTGTAATGAACATATTGCAACAATGTTGCCCTTGTTCTTATAGACATTCATACTTGAATCGGTTGTTACAGTAGCATCATGTGAGGAAACTAACCAGCTAGTTTATGGAACATTGGTGGTTCTATTTGGGTTCCAGCTTGTGCCTGAAATAATGCATGGAGGGGGACCGAGGGCATTTGTGTTAACCAAACAAGTTCTTGTTTTTTGTAGGTTTTTTTTTTTAATTGTAAATTAATGTTAATAAAAATTTTGCAGTTTCCATTGAACAAGCTAACAGACCTAATGAGACAGGAAGTTGCTGCGTCAGGCTTTACAGAAGTTCTCACCTTTGCCTTGGTAATTATTTACATTGATTTTGTAATCGTCCCAGCATAGGGAGTGGGGGAGACGAAATTTTCTTGCAGGTTCTTATGGGAGAAGAAAATTGTGACAAAATTACATAATTGAAAATAGGGAAAGAGTTGAATTTTTATGTAGTTTTGTACTTTTTTTTACAGACTATATATCTGTAAATTTAACATTTTCTCCTTAATGATCTGGACATTACAGAGGAAATTCTATAAACGAACTACGAGTGGTCAATTTTTTCAAGATTTCAGTCCTGCCTTTTCAATGTAACGTCATTTTAAAGTCCTTGTGAGTCAAACATTAAAGGTAATATTTTTTGATAAGGCTGTATGGTTTAAGTGCTTTTAACTCTAAATAAGTTGACGCCCTTTTATTAAAACTTGATTCATTTGAATGCTATATATTTTACTAGCCGTATTGATGATCGTAAATCGTATGGCAAATTGTTCATTACAGTTTTGTGTTCTAACAGATTTTGTATGTGTTTCTATACTTAATGTTGCCACTCCTTGTTTTTATATGGTTTGAATATAATCTGTGAAACTTCAGCGTTTTTACTCTATAGAATGACCCATACAAAACGAAAGTCGGCATCTTTTGGGATGCAGCGAAAAAAGAATCAGTTTTAAAACTAAAGAACGTAATATTTGTAAACATGAATAGAACATGTATTCGGAACACATCAAACCTTTTTGCCTATTGGTGGTATTATTATCAGTAAATCAAAACAAAAGAATGGAAAGTATAATTTTAACTGGTAAAAACAATCCATTTAAATGTAAACCTCCATGTACATTTTTAGCTCACCTGTCACAAAGTGACAGGGTGAGCTTTTGTGATCGCTTTTCGTCCGGCGTCCGTCCGTCCGTCCGTCGTCCGTCCGTCGTCCGTCCGTAAACTTTTGCTTTAAATGACATCTCCTCATAAACCACTGAGCCAATTTCATCCAAACTTCACAGGAATGTTCCTTTGGTGGTCACCTTTAAAAATTGTTCAAAGAATTTAATTCCATGCAGAACTCTGGTTGCCATGGCAATCGAAAGAGAAATCTTTAAATATCTTCTTTTAAACAACCCTAAGAGCTAGAGCTCAGATATTTGGCATGAAACATCTTCTAATGAGTGTCTACCAAGTTTGTTCAAATAAAAGCCCTGGGGTCAAAATTGGCCCCGCCCCAGGGGGTCATTGATTTTCCCTATATGCATATAGTAAAAACTTAAAAAATCTTCTTTTAAAGAACTGTAAGAGCTAGAGCTAAGATATTTGGCATGGAACATCTTCTAGTGAGTGTCTACCAAGTTTGTTCAAATAAAAGCCCTGGGGTCAAAATTGGCCCCGCCCCGGTGGGTCATTGATTTTCCCTATATGCATATAGTAAACACTTAAAAAATCTTCTTTTAAAGAACTGTAAGAGCTAGAGCTTAGATATTTGGCATGAAACATCTTCTAGTGAATGTCTACCAAGTTTGTTCAAATAAAAGCCCTGGGGTCAAAATTGGCCCCGCCCCAGGGGGTCATTGATTTTCCCTATATGCATAAAGTAAAAACTTAAAAAATCTTCTTTTAAAGAACCCTAAGAGCTAGAGCTTAGATATTTGGCATGAAACATCTTCTAGTGAATGTCTACCAAGTTTGTTCAAATAAAAGCCCTGGGGTCAAAATTGGCCCCGCCCTGGGGGGTAATTGATTTTCCCTATATGCATATAGTAAAAACTTAAAAAATCTTCTTTTAAAGAACCGTAAGAGCTAGAGCTTAGATATTTGGCATGAAACATCTTCTAATGAGTGTCTACCAAGTTTGTTCAAATAAAAGCCCTGGGTCAAAATTGGCCCCGCCCCAGGGGGTCATTGATTTTCCCTATATGCATATAGTAAAAACTTAAAAAATCTTCTTTTAAAGAACTGTAAGAGCTAGAGCTTAGATAATTGGCATGAAACATCTTCTAGTGAATGTCTACCAAGTTTGTTCAAATAAAAGCCCTGGGGTCCAAATTGGCCCCGCCCCAGGGGGTCATTGATTTTCCCTATATGCATAGAGTAAAAACTTAAAAAATCTTCTTTTAAAGAACCCAAAGAGCTAGAGCTAAGATATTTGGCATGAAACATCTTCTAGTGAATGTCTACCAAGTTTGTTCAAATAAAAGCCCTGGGGTCAAAATTGGCCCGCCCCGGGGGTCATTGATTTTCCCTATATGCATATAGTAAAAACTTAAAAAATCTTCTTTTAAAGAATCGTAAGAGCTAGAGCTTAGATATTTGGCATGAAACATCTTCTAGTGAATGTCTACCAAGTTTGTTCAAATAAAAGCCCTGGGGTCAAAATTGGCCCTGCCCCAGGGGGTCATTGATTTTTCTTATATGCATATAGTAAAAACTTATAAAATCTTCTTTTAAAGAACCCAAAGAGCTAGAGCTAAGATATTTAGCATGAGACATGTTCTAATGGGTGTCTACCAAGTATGTTCAAATAAAAGCCCTGGGGTCAAAACTGGCCCCGCCCCGGGGGTCATTGATTTTCCTTATATACATAGCAAAAACTTAAAAATCTTTTTTGAAAAAACCCAAATAACTAGAGTTTAGATATTAAGCATGAAACATCTTTAAGTAAATATCTACAAAGTTTGCTCAAATAAAAGCCCAGGGGTCAAAACTGGCCCTGCCCGAGGGGTGTCATTGTTTTTAACTATATGTGTATAGTAAAAACTTAAAAAGTCTTCTTTTAAAAAACCCAATGAGCTAGAACTTGGATGTTTTGCATGTCTCCCAAGTCTGTTCAAATAAACAAATAAAAGCCCTTGGGTAAAAATTGGGCTGGGGGGGGGGCTATATACAGGTGAGCGACCTCAGGGCCATCATGGCCCTCTTGTTAATCAGGTACGCTTGATTAAAATTCAATGCAGAGTCTGGAACATGTTCCAAGTCATGTAGAGAATCCAGAGGTGCCAATATCGGAACACTCTGATTATATATTGTAGTATATTTAGCATATCATGAAATATTGTTTCTAGTATTTTTGATTTTAGTGTTCTCGAGATGATATTGCAGACAAACTGAGACAGGATATTAAAACACGTAATGCAGTCCATATTGCGAACCCAAAAACGCTTGAATTTCAGGTAGTCTATGTCGATTATTTTGTATTAAAGAGTAGTAAAAATACTATTTATGAAATATACGGCAATTTTGTTTTATTTGATGTTAAAGGAACTTCAGTTTAAAATCATTTTAATTTCTTACTGAGATCAACTGGTGCACTTGAAGCAGAATGATTATTATGATATACAAATAGAAGAAAGAAGTACACTTACAATTAAGATGAAAATCTGATTTTGTATACTTCTTAGCATGATTGAGTAACTTTGTCTAAATGCTTTTCATTTTTAGGTTTATTTTGGGGATTTTATGGTTGTTTTTTTTGTTTTTTTTTTAAATAAAAATAATTTTTTTTTAGAAAATCGGAGCTTGTGAATGATTTGAAATTTTGTTAATAATTAATTAATTATATTGGAAATTTGTGAAGAGGGTTCTCCAACAGAAAATTGTGGTTGTAAGACTGGTGAATGTTGACATGCATAGGTGGTTTGATGTAGATATTCTGTATGAAATCCCACTATTTCATTAAGAATTTCAACCAAATTTATAGAAATGTCACATTCATAAGCTTTGGGTGCATATTTTCTGACTTTTATGATAATTTGCTGTCAACTGTTATATGTTAATGCAAGAGAAATTTATATGGCTTTATGTGGGAGTAAAGTTGGAAGTGTGCCAATTATAGATAAAATATGAAACAATGAACGCATTTATTTTAAATAGACACTAACAAATCCAGGCCTTTCATTACAGTGGGTAAATAAATTTTTATTTTAAACATTACAGGTTGCTAGGACGACGCTGTTGCCAGGGATACTTAAGACCATATACCACAATAAGAACATGCCGCTGCCACTTAAACTTTTTGAAATATCAGATGTTGTCTTAAAAGATGAAAATAAAGGTGAGATCTCATTGGTTGATTATAGAAAGGACTGCATTTTAAAGTTTAAATCCAAGGTCATTAATTGAATCCAAGGTCATTAATTGAAAAAGCAATATCAAAAGGAGTTCTGACATATAACCATGTGATTGTCATTGACTGGTACATTAGTCTGGTATTAAGGTAGTCTTACTGCAATGCTTTCCCGCCAAAAAAAAATCTGACATCGGCCAATATTGTAATCAATCGGTCATTTCCGGAATGTTATTTTTCACAATTTTTGGTATTCAATAATTTTTAACCATTTATAACAAGAATTTAGAACATAGCAATAAAGGATGAGTGATTGTTAATAATCTAATGCCCAAGATTTTGAAAAAAATAACGTTTCAGAAATAACCGATTTGCTACATATTGGCTGATGTTAGAATTTTTTTTTGGGGGAAAGCATTACAGTAAGACTACCTTAACTCACCCATGTTTATACACCCATATTGTTGTTATGCAGTTCAATAAAAATCATTTAGAATAATAACAAATTACAAAACAACAAAATTAGATTTTTAATCACTTACATAAATATGGTAATAGAAATAGATAGTATTAAAATGAAAAAGATTGTGAAAGAAAATTGTAAAGTATACCAAAGTATATTTTTAGCTTGACTATAGAAGAATACGAATGGCTATTGTACTCGCACAGGTATTGGCGTCACACTTTGCTTAAGTTTTTCCGTGCAAGTTGGTACTTCCAAAAGTTGTGAGTTGAATGGGTTGAAACTTCACACACTTATTTTAGAGCATAATAGGAAGTAACTGACAAAGGGTCATAACTCTAACATGAATTTTTACCAAATTATGGACCCTTTTTGAATTTGTCAAGACGAAGTCTATGTTACCCAGGCTCTTGCTTTACTATCAAGCACAGAGAATAATCAATCACACTGTCCTACCGACGGCTGCTGTTTCTATTTCTTTGCATTTCTTACAGTGTTTGCAATGAATTGTTAACTGTAATTAATACTAAAATTATACAGATGTCGGAGCCAGAAATGAACGCCACCTGTGTGCAGTGAACTATAACAAGTCATCCGGATTTGAGATAATTCATGGTTTATTGGATAGATTAATGCAATTGCTGGAGGTACCCGCCACAAAAGATGGCACCGGTTACTTCATCAAAGCTTCAGAAGGTATGAATATGATGTCTTTATAGTCGCAAAGTGGTTCAGGCAAATCACAGTCCCCCTCATCATTGAAAGTTTTAATCTCGCCAGGGACTTAAAACCTTAAAATGTTTAGAAAACTATTTAGCTAGATTACTGAAGTTTGGTGTTTCAATTTCAGGGGCCTTTTTTGTATTCTGAATTAGCATGCTAGATGTATTCTTTACCAAATTGGAAGTTTTTAAGCATTTTTTTTATTTCTGATATTTTTGACCATAGAAAGCTTTAGTACAACCCATGAAAAAAATTAATTGTAGGAATTGTAATACTAGAGAATTCTCATCATTTATTGTTATGTCTTGTTTGTTTTGTCTTATTTTTTGATGTTGAATGACTAACAACTGACAGCACTGTGGGGTTTCAACGCCACACCTCTCCCCCTCCCCCTTCTTTTAGACTAGGGATTCTTTCATGAGAAGAAACTACAGATGTGCCTGAGATAATGCATGGAGTGGCATCTGAGGTCTTCCCTGAACTAGTAAAGCTGAAAAGTCGCCATATGACTTGTACAGTGTTGATTTGATGTAAAACCCTACAAACAAAAAAAAAATAAAATACAAGAAAACATAAAGAAAATGACAGTTTCTAACTTAAAGCATGAAATATCCACAACATATCACTAATGTATTAGGAACTTGCTATCATTCATTTCATTATGTGTGATTATGTTTTTTTCAATGATTTTACAGTAATTTCCAAAGTAACCTTTCTTTTATAATTTACATTCAGATAAAACATATTTCCCGGGACGATGTGCAGATATCATGTTACGGGGAAAATCAATCGGAAAGCTTGGTGTTCTACATCCCGAGGTGATCACGACCTTTGACCTCAACATGCCATGTTCTGCTCTAGAGATCAACCTTGAGGCGTTAAGATAGTGTGAGAGGAGATTAAAAAAGTTTTTCGAAGAATTTATTTATTCTCTGATCACAGTGATTCATTGGACATGAGAATATAAACTGCATTTAAATTAAATTTAACTGTTAATTTTTGCAATACAGATTGTTCATTCGAAACAGTCATACAGACAGGAATATGTTAGAGATGAATTTGTTTCTTCGGAATACTAACATTTTAAAGGTCACGGCTGAGGTGTAATAGTTTAGTGGTCTGGATGTTTTACAAAGGAAATTGATTTGAGTTATATTTGTGTTGTAACCATGTTTTGACGTGAGCACACATTATCCCAGAGAATGAATTTGATAAGAATTGATATGAATTTTTTACAATCTAAGCTTCTGAATCTAAGCTTCTTTACAAGAGATGTAAATTTGATATGTTGTATTAAGGTAATTTTCTTTACTTCTTAAGCTTGTGAAAATATAGTATTATCTGCACTTTCTGTTTAATTATATTGACCATATAATGTAACTCTTGATTGTCACTCGTGCTTGCCAAATCATTTAGGGATTGTGTAGTAAAAGTATCCCAGATTGTATTTTTATACCCCCGCACAACAAAGTTGTAAGGGGGGTATACTGGAATCAGCTTGTCTGTCCGTCCGGCTGTCCGGCCGTCCGTCGGTTTTTTCTTCTCCGCCCAATAACTTAAGATTCCTTTGACCCTTAGTCTTCATATTTGGCATGGAGGTTAGTCATGATTAGTAGATGACCCCTATTGATTTTGAGGTCACTAGGTCAAAGGTCAAGGTCACAGGGGCCTTGACTTCAAAAAGCTTGTCCACCCAATAACTTAAGATTCCTTTGACCCACAGTCTTCATATTTGGCATGGAGGTAAGTCATGATTAGTAGATGACCCCTATCGATTTTGAGGTCACCAGGTCAAAGGTCAAGGTCACAGGGGCCTTGACTTCAAAAAGCTTATCCGCCCAATAACTTAAGATTCCTTTGACCCACAGTCTTCATATTTGGCATGGAGGCAAGTCATGATTAGTAGATGACCCCTATTGACTTTGAGGTCACCAGGTCAAAGGTCAAACTCACAGGGGCCTTGAATTCAAAAAGCTTGTCCGCCCAATAACTTAAGATTCCTTTGACCCACAGTCTTCATATTTGGCATGGAGGCTAGTCATGATAAGTAGATGACCCCTTTTAACTTTGAGGTCACCAGGTCAAAGGTCAAGGTCACAGGGGCCTAGACTTAAAAAAGCTTGTCCGCCAAATAACTAAAGATTCCTTTGACCCACAGTCATCATATTTGGCATGGAGGTTAGTCATGATTAGTAGATGACCCCTATTGATTTTGAGGTCACCAGGTCAAAGGTCAAGGTCACAGGGACTTTGACTTCAAAAAGTTTGTCTGACCAATAACTTTAGATTCCTTTGAGCCACAGTCTTCATATTTGGCATGGATGTTGATCATGATTAGTAGATGACCCCTTTTGATTTTGAGGTCACTGGATCAAAGGTCAAGGTCATAGGGACTTTTGACTTCAAAAAGTTTGTCCACCCATTAACTTAAGATTCCTTTGACCCACAGTCTTCATATTTGGCATGGATGTTGATCATGACTATAAGGTGACCCCTATTGATTTTGAGGTCACTGGGTCAAAGGTCAAGGTCACAGGGACCTTGACAAAAAAAAGCTTTTCTTCTTAATTGCTAAAGAATGTCCTGTCCGCAATGTATTGATTTTGACATTTTCACATTTGAAGCATGTAGAATACATAACTTAGCAATGCACTGGCTTAGTAACCTCAGATTTGGCAGGGAGGTTTTCATTGAGCTCTAAATGGCCACTGTTGATTCTGACAAAGTGGTATGCGGGGGTATTCACACCATGATAGTGGCAGTTCTAGTTTCGTCTGTGTGGTGGTTTTGATGTTCAAAAATAGCAGGAGACATGTAGAAGTAGCAGTTTGACGATATTTAGATGAGCTTTTACCATTTGACTGAATTCCACCCGCTTAACTCAAAACTTCAGAGCATCAGATTTGTAATCACAGGGGGTCATTTGTTGATCCTCGTTTGTGGCAAAATTTCTCTGGGACAATTGATCTGGGACATTGGGTCTAATGGTCATTAGCCTCTCACCACTGCTTCATTAATAATGTGTGCTAAGTAGTTAGCCACTTACAGAAAAATTAGTTGTTAACTGGTTAGTTACCCAGTAAAGCCAATAAGGTGGAATGACTACCGAGATACAAACTAAAGTGTGGTAAAATTTGTGTAAGAACCAGGTAAACATACAGTACAAACTATGATCTTTATTAGGATTTGGATAATCCCCTCTTTTTTTCCCCCCTGAGCTTTGGGTAGCCAGTAGATACAACTAACTGGTGCATGAGTGCTATAAAAGTTTAGAGTAATGAAAAATCACTTGTCAATTGGAATTTAGATGTTGATGAATGGAATAAACTGTGTCATATCTGACTGAACATGACTCAAAATAATTATGGCATCTCATTATAAAGATAAAAATTACATTTTTATTTTATTTATTTCATGTTTACTTCATTAAAGATTAAAGATCGCCACAAATTAAAAAAATTGAAACATTTCTGTCATTAAATCTGGATGCAAAATAAAGTAATCATTCGAACATTGTTCTCTCTGAATATGTGCCTCAAACTGTCATGACAGAGTTGCGGCCCCTTGAAAGGTAAAAAAGCATATTTTTGCATTCTGCATGTCGACACTTCTTTAAATGATTTGATTTGAATCAAAGTTGCAAATATCGCTAATTTATGAGGTTTTCAAATAATTACAACTGATATTATGGGCACTTGTGGCTTTCATCGATATCAAAATCCCACCAAGTGCTGATTTATCCCCTTCAATATTCAGATTGAAATGCGCCAAAAGCCGGTTTAAACCTTTTTTGATATCAGGAAAATGTGTAAAAAATTCTATTTTAATTATACTCTAGTTAAATTTTTATTGAAACATAAATATTTATTATACATGTATTATTTTTCCATATAAAAGGCAAACCACAAGTGTTTCGAAAAGTTCAACACCAGTTTTGTTCTTAACCCATTACGTTATATACACACCTTTTAACGCCTTTTTCAACCCCCCCCCCCCCTTTTTGTTGTCTCAAATGGTGAAAAAATGCCTTATTTAGGCCCCAAACACTTGTTTTTTGTGTCGCTTCTACGGAGTAGTGGCGACATATAGGGATCACTTCTCCGTTGTCTGTCTGTCCGTCTGTCTGTCCGTCACAAAACTTGTCCGGACTACTCCTCAAAAACTACTGGTGCAATTTCATCCAAACTTTACAGCAATGATCAGTACCAAGTCTAGTTGTGCATATTGTCAGTATTTTCCGGTTCAATGATTTTTGTCAGAGTTATGGCCCTTTAATAATATTATTTTTAAAAGTTTGTCCGGACTACTTCTCTTATACCACTAATGCAATTTCAAGGAAACTTTACAGGATTGATCTGTAGCTCAAGTCCTTGCACATATTGCACGGGTTTTCCGGTTGAATGATTTTTGGCCGAGTTATGGCCCTTTGATAAAAAGGTGTTTTTTTCAGTGTGTTGCCAGATACACAAAAGCTTGTCCGGACTACTCCTCATAAACTACTGGTGCAATTTTATCCAAACTTTACAGGAATGATCAGTACCAAGTCTAGTTGTGCACTGTCAGTCTGTCTGTCTGTCACAAAACTTGTCCCAACATAAAATTGGCCATCATGAGGCGACACATGTGATTACTGATCGCTCTTGTGTTTGAGAAATGTTGTTAAAAAAGTGACCTCTTTTTTGGCGCGGCCTCCCAACCAAAAGATACATCAGGGGGTTGCCAGAAGGGGGATGTGCCTCCTTCTGTTTGGGGGTTTTGAAGGGGGGATGTGCCCCTTCTGTTTGGGGGGTTTTGAAGGGGGCGGAGTCCCCCTCATCGCCAAGAAAATTTTGGACTTGTGAGAGGCTATAAATGACCCCAGATTGATCAGAAGGTAACGTGTAACCAACGCTGTAAAGCATTTGACTCTATCTCAATCCATTGAGAAGTTTTGAAGCAGTTTTTATAGTATTATAGCAATTTGAACTTGTAACGGGAGACTTTTCAATGAAAACAGCCATTTTTCACAAAATGCTCATGAAGTAATGGGTTAATCCCCAATAATACAAGAAAACATGATGTTGTATCACAAAAAGATAAATTTTGTTAAAATAATTCGTCCGGGAACAACTGACGTACATCTGTAACTTCCTGGATGATCCGGGAACATCTGGCATTCGACACCCCCGATGGAACGGGGTGCTTCAGGAAAGTATACTATAGCTTTGCCGGCTTCATCCTTAGCCCTGCTGGGAATGACTGGGGTTACACTGAGGGAAGTACTGTAGCTCTGCCAGCACAAAACTGGGAAGATTCCGGGTATGATATAGCCGGAAGAGCTTCGGTAAACCCTGGTGAATGCCAGCAGAGGCCCGGTGAATGCTGGTAGAGCCCCGGAGGATGACGATTGAGCTACGGTTAATCCCGGTAGAGCCCCATGCAACGTCATCATTTTCATCCACTGGGGCACTGCCGGGATCGTTCTGGGCTCTACTGGGGTCAACCAGGGCTCTATCAACATCATCCGGAAATGACCGAGGAAGCACTGGCATGAACTGTAGCTTCACTTTGGCTCTGCCCCCAACCCTACCTCTAGTCCCAATTACAACCATAGGGACCCGGCACAGTGTTGGGATAGTGTACTAAAGTAATTCTAGAAAAAAATATATAATGTATGTGTAATATATATTATATATAAACTTTTTGTTTTATAGAATTACTTTTTTTACGCTATCCCATCACTTTGATTACAACCCAAAAAAAATTATTTAGTCAATTTTCACATTAAGTATTCATAACAACAATAATATGACACTATTACACAATTTTCATTATACCTCTATAGTATTAGTTATAACTAATCCCTATATAATTGCTGTGGTATACAATGTAAGTCGCTGACTTCAAACCACTTGCACCTCACTACGTGAGATCGGGGACCTCGGATTCTATCATGTGAGGGAGCTATCCAGCTAGCTTACAGAATGTCGGTGGTTCTACTCAGGTGGTGCCCGTTTGTGTTTGAAATAACGCATGGGCATGTGAGGTCTTCCGCGATATTACTATTACAGTGTTGGTGCGACGTAAAACCCAACCAAATACAAACGAAAAACCCCACACAACCTGGTTCCCTTTGATTTAAACATTGTATATGGAATAATTTATTTTTATGATGTAAGAATAAAATTTAAATAA